GAAACAATAAAGTCCTGCTTAAAATATTGTAAGATGTCTAGGTATACTGAATCAAACTTTATGGGTTTTTTAAAAATAGTGTTTTATTTTTTCCAGTTACATGTAAAGCAAATTTTTAATGTTCATTTAAAAAAAATTTTGAGTTCCAGATTTTTCTGTCTCCCTCCTTCCCTCCCCCCCCAAAAGGGTAAGCAATTTTATATAGATTATATATGTGCAATCATGTAAAACATATTTCCATATTAGTCATGTTGTAAAAGAAGACACAGAACAAAAGTAAAAAAAACATGAAAAAAAGAGCATGCTTCGATCTGCCTTCGGACTCCATAAGCTCTTTCTCTGGATGTGGATAGCATTTTCCATCATGAGTCCTTTGGAATTATCTTGGATCATTGTGTTGCTGAGAAGAGCTGAGTCATTCATAATTCATTATTGCACAATGTTGCTATTACTGTGTACAACATTCTTCTGGTTCTACTCTTTTCACTTTGCATCAGTTCATGTAAGTCCAGATTTTTCTAAAATCTGCCTACTTATTTCTTATAGCACAGTAGTATTCTATTTCATGCACAGATCACAACTTGTTCAGCTGTTCCCTAATTGATGGGCATCCCCTCAATTTCCAGTTTTTTTGCCACCACAAAAATAGCTGCTATATTTTGTTGTTGTTGTTGTTGTTGTTGTTTTTAAAGTGAGGCAATTGGGGTTAAGTGATTTGCCCAGAGTCACACAGCTAGGAAGTATTATGTGTCTGAGGCCGAATTGGAACTCAGGTCCTCCTGACTCTAGGGTTAGTGCTGTATCCACTGCACCACCTAGTTGCCCCAAAAGTGTGATTTTATTTTCTTTTTTGGTGAGGCAATCAGGGTTAAGTGACTTGCGTAGGGTCACACAGCTAGTTAAGTGTCAAGTGTCAGGTCAGATTTAAACTCAGGTCCTCCTGACTCCAAGGCTGGAGCTCTATCTACTGCGCCACCTAGGTGCCCTGCTATAGATATTTTTGTACATGTAGGTTCCTTTCCCTTTTTATGATCTCTTTGGGATACAGACCTAGTAGTGAATACCTCTAAACTTTGACAAATGGATCTTTGATCTCACTGATGGGGCTATTGACTCCAATAATGTGGATTTCAGATCCATCGACTCTTATCCCAAGTGGTTCTGGTTCATGCCTTCCCATCAGCCACCCACAGAGCATCCACCCTGGCACCTTTAAAGGTTCTTCTTTGTAATCTTCTTTTGCTAGAGGACTCTAATCCAATTTCCTCCCGATTTAACCCTGAAGTCCTGTATCTTGACTGTCCATTTTCTAACTTTCCCGTCCACACAAATGATGAGGAAATACCAACATTTAAGTTATGAAATTGTGCAACTATAAGACGTAAAAGAATTCACCTAGGCTCATATGAAACTTCTCTTTTCCAATCCCATTACATTTACTGTCTGTCCTCATCCTAGAATCTGATTATATTCTTTCATTCTCTGATATATGTACACATTTTCATGTGTGTGTGTATACATACACACATCTATACATATTTATACTATTAAGCTATTAAAGCTTAAAACTGCTCTAGGACTTTTGGGGCATCTTGTATATATAAGTGCCTTATTTCTCTCAATAAAGCTTTAAGTTCATTGAGGGGAGGGATCATATCATAGATTGATATCTTCCACATTGCCTAATAGTCTTAGGCACACTGAAGGTGCTCAGAAAATATTTACAGAATTTAATACCCTCTGGCTCGGAGCAGAATTACTCCTAAACTAATTGAGACAGAACTATAATTAGTCTTAGAACTGGAAGAGACTTTGCAAATCATCTAGACCAAATCCTTTGTTTTACACATAAGAAAACCTGGGTTGGGGGAGGGCAAGGAGTTACACACCCAGGACAGAGTCACTCTCCCTCCAAACCCTTGGAAAGATTGGAGATGAGTTGGAGACACTATAAGTAGAACTTCAAGGGCTTTCCAATAACCAGCAAGATGTATGACTCTGGGAGGTGGGCCCAACAAAGCCATGAGGGATCAGACCCCAACACTGTGTATATAAAAGGGCTTCTGCAGAGATAATGGAAGAGAAAGGGTAAGAGGAGGCATGGCCTTCTGTTGGGAACATGCTCTGAATTAAGTGGTACACATTCTGGATGACAGAAAACAAAATAGCAGCATTAAAAGCTGGTGTCAAAGGGATTAGACAAGCAAAGGACTGAACCAATGATAAACTTGTGTGCACAGTATGATACAGATTGTCACCCTAAGGTAGGAATGAGTGAATGAATGAATTGCAGACTGGAAAGAAAATGGCTGTAAAGTAGGGATTTTGTTCATAGAGAGAATAACTTTACTGGGTAACATGACTCTGGACATTGATATCGAGTGGAAGATTTTTCTGCTTTTTCAAAAGCCAAAGGCAATACAGGAGTTGAGAGAAGAGCTAGACAAGAAACTAGAAAGTGAGATGACTTAATTAATGGTTGCAGATGTTGAATTTGGCTTGAGGTAGTATTCCATTTAACCCTGCCTTGAAATCTCTACACTATTCTTTCCCTTCCTCCCCCCCCTTCATTTGAAGCTATATATCATGGCTATCTATGGCCTTTTTCCCCCTTCTCATTTTGTTTGCAAACTTTCTAGGCTTTTCTATATGTTGATGTTTTAAATTCCTCTTAAAAGAATATAAGTAAATTCTTTTGTAATATGGCTTAATATGGAAATGTTTTGCAGGACTCTGTGTATATAATCTATATCAAATTGCTTGCCTTCTGAACAGGGAGGGGAGGGAGAGAATTTGGAACTCAAAATTTTTTAAAGACAAATGTTAAAAATTTTGTTTTTTTGAGAAAAGAAAAAAAAAGAGCGTAAGTAAGAAATGCAGACTTTTAACAACCATACACATTGTTCACATTTGCTAATCAGAGAAAGGTAGATATTACCTTTTCTACTTCTGTAAAGTTCAGTTAAATTTTATTTGCCATAATTCCTGTCTTGGACCCTGAGAAACCAGCTGTGCTGCTTTACCATTCACATGGCTTGGATGAATGGAAATCTATGATTCTTCCTTCTTGTGAAAAGGAAGATCTACCAGATCTTCTCACCCTGAACTTGCCACTTACCCTTCCACTGATCTCTTAAGGCTTCTAAGTATTTAATTGGCCCTGAAGATGAACTTTCTCAGTTATTTCCTCCTCATAGAGTGTGAGCTTGAAAGCAGAAGCTATCTTTTTCAATTTGTCATTCTAGCTCTGAGCACAACGCTTGGCATATAGTGAGTGTTTAATAAATACTTTTTTTCACTTGTTCATTAAAAAAAAGAAATGGGGGAAAGACGACAAGGTCAGAGCTTTGTCTAGCAGTGATATTTATGTGGTAGAGGGTATTGTGTTGGTGAGAAGGGAATTAACAATTCATTCTTGCATGCCTCCCCCTACTCCTCCTTGTCCTCCTCAACTCTTTTGTGGGTAGTTTCTTCCTTCTTATTGTCAACTATCTCAGATCCTCCCCTTGGAGTAATTTAGTTTTTGTTTCAACCCCAATATTGGAAAGAGAAAATTGGCAGAGGAAGAGCTTAAGGTGGCCGTCTTACCAATACCAGCTCACAGCTCACTCACAACTTTCTCCCTCCCCTTCTCCCCAAACTGCTAGGTTCATTTTGGGCCCAGGATCTTCCATATCCATGCTGTTCTCTGCTTTGGGAAAGCTATAAAAACAGAAATCAATAATTTCTCTTCTGTTCGTCTCTGAGCTCCCATTGTGCCAAGAAAGGTCCCAGCAGTAATAAAAATCTATTTATCTCTCTCCCTGTATACCCCACCACCCATTGCCTCACTCTCACTTATCTTTTAGCAACAAAACACATACATATCAGTAATGCAGTGGTTAACCACATCTTTATCTTAATACTGTCTTGAAAGACTATTTTCATTCCTATAAAAATTAAAAAAAAATCCAGAGATAAGCTTTGGAACGCATATGCTCTCTCAGGAAGGTATAAGGGAGAGTTGGGAAGGGAATCACCATCTTGGATCTGCCCTTCTGAGTAAGTTCAGCAAAACTAAAGTCTGTCTAGACACACAGCTTGGCTCCATTCTGGGGCATCATGATGACATCATTGCTAAAGTTCTGCTCCTGTTTCCATGGGGACTTCTTTCCATGGTTTCTGCTGTCCTGGTCTCTCACTCTTCTGCTTGCAGTCTCTAGTGAGGCAGCCACCCAGGGAGGGCCCAGGGCCCAGGGTACAACAGAACAGTGATTCCCTGCTTACTCCTGATCTCTGGTTCTCCTACCTCTTGAGTGGCTCCTCTTCCTAGTTCTCATCCTCATCTTACTCCCCCCTTAGAAATAGGAGGAGCTCAGTTCTCTACCTTCTTCACAGGGTTGCTAAGCTCTAGGAGGCAGTTAATAAATGTTTAGTCCCTTCCTGTCAGCAGACTCAGTAGAGTAGTCCTGGAGAATTTCCAAGCAGCTGGTAGGCAATGACTTCCAATGACCTGTTCTGCTAGAAAGATGAAGTAACTTATTTTAATAGTAAGTTGAAGAGCTTGGACTCCAAATTGAGTGCTCCTTGCATTGCACTTAGGGGAGAAACTTGGGGATTCAATTCAATTTATTAAGTGCCTGTCACATTCAAGGGACTATGCTAGGCACTGGAGATAATCGCTAAACATTTATTAAGCACTACATACATATACATATACACATATATGTAGATTTATACATATATGAATACACACGTGTATATATACATATATACACACATATACACACACACATACACACACACACACACACACACATACAACTTGGGGGGTATTGGGAAAGGCTTCTGATAGGAGATGGTACCTGAAACCGCTCCTTAAAAAAAAACTAGGGAAAATCAGGAAGGGGTATTTTGAGTTTGCCAGTGTTTATTTATTTAGTTCTCATAGACTATTGAAAATTCTATTTTGAATTAAATAGCTAATGTAGATTTATTTTTGTTGTTTTTATCTTTTACAGAAATGAGATTACAAGAAATTCAGAAAAAAATAAAAGATGCTTTTGAGGTGTTTGACCATGAATCCAATGACACCGTGGATGTTAGGTTTGGAAATTTTTTCTTACATAAAATTATATTAGATAGAATGCTGTTTAAGCACTAAATTACTTTAAGTAACAAGTAAAATATAAGGAAACCTTTTCCTTATTCATAGAATATATAAGGTTTGTTATGCCATAGCAGTAATTTTTCACTGTTGGCTTTATTAAAAGGTAGAAATTGAATACTTGCTTAGTGCTATTTTTTATGCATAGAACCATAGAATTTTAGCCATGAAAAGGACCTGAGGGAGGTGAAGTATAAACATTCACCCACTACCATTATTTGTACTGTATATCCTCAGCAGGGTCCTCACTGTTAGTAGATAGTCTTTCTACTCAAACCTTGTTAACTCCTTATCTCATTTTTCACCGAGACTTGCACGTCTTTTGTTCTCTGTTCACCACCAACCGCATCCCAAGCATCCCACACATATAGAAGATGACCTTGCCACCTGCATCCCTGAGAAGACTAAGGCCATATGACCTGACCTAGACTCCCTTAGCTCCCCTTCCTCTATTCCCTGGAACTTCTCGGCATCATTATCTGCTTTATCTTCCTCCAGATACAGAAAAAGAAATGCTCCCCTTTCCCCTCACTAAGGCTGTTTTCTCAACCTTTAGATGAGCTGAGCCTGACTGAGGCTGATCCCTGATAGTTCAAGTAAAATATTGGAACAAAGTGAGTTACTCATAGGTCATTTAGCAGTTAACAAAAGGATGTCTGCTTAGCCACAGTATAGAGAGGATATAGTACTTTTCTGGTCAACAAGGCAGGATGTGGTGACTAAGGAAGCCTTGGGACATCTGTCAGCTCCACATGGGTAAGACTTTTTATGCCTTTAGCTAATGAGGGAACTAAATAAATATAGGCCTCTAGGATGATTCAGTTCATAGTTAGGTGGCTTGAACCTTAGCTCCTTGGGCTAAGAACTACCCTAACCAAATGGAGGGGTGGTGTAGAGAGGATAGACTATCACATGTGACTTCAGTCCCATTTCCTTTTGCCTTCTCTAGGACTTGGCTTTAGCCGTCATCTCCTTTTTCTTAGTCATCTTCAATCTCTCCTCCATAGCTCCACCTCATTTGTTTCTAAGTATGCTCAGATCTCCTCAAACAGAAAAAGAGTCTTCTGTTGATCCTTCCAGTCCCATCTTTGTTCATTGTTAAACTTCTTGAAAAGATGCCCTTATATCCAATGCCTCCACTTCCTCACCTCTCTTGCAAATGGGCACCTTTTCCAATTGCTCAGTGGAAACTTCTTCTTCAAATAGCTATTTTTTAGGTTTTGCACTTCATGTCTTTTCTGAGTTTTTGACACTATTAAAAGCACTTCCTGCTTTAAAAGAAAATTTTCCAATTAACAAGCATAAAAATAAAGGAAAAAAATTAACATTTATTTTCTTTCCTTCCCCCCCAATGGAAAAAGAAAAGAAAAGAAAAACAAATTCCTTATAACAAATATGTATTATCACGGAAAACAGATTCATGTATTGGCCTTGTCCAAGAAAAAGTATGTCTTAACTGGCATCTTGAATCCATTTCCTTTGTTTCAGTAAGTAGGTAACATGTTTCTTCATATGTCTTCTTAAATCATTCACTTTATAGGATAATCCTTTTTTTTTTGTCTCCAGATGCTTTTCTGATTCTCCTCTTAGCCTCCTTTTCTGTCTTCTTTGCTGGTTCCTCATCCTTTCCTGAGCCTTTAATGAGAGTGTTGCCCAAGGGTTGCCCAAGTCAACAGGTATTTTAAACACTTATGCTCTATCAGGCGTTGTGCTAAGCACTGGTGATACAAATATGAGCAAAAGCAGCCTCTTCTTTTCTCTTTCGTCTTAGTAGACTGTAAGTTTCTTGAAGGCAGGGAATTTAAAAAAATATCCATGTAGCCACATTCCCTTGCACATAGTAGAAGCTTAATAAGTGATAGTTGGTGTTTTTTAATTAGTTTTTATTGATAACTTCTGTTTTTTACTTCATCATAGTTTTCCTAAATATTTCTCCCCCACTCCTTCCCAGAAAACCATCCCATATAAAAATAGTTGTTTGTTTTTTTAAGAGAGGAAAGAAAATCAGCATAGTTGATCAGTACATTGAAAAAGTCTGAAAACCTGTGTAATGTGTAACAACTGTAGAACTCTTACATCCACAAAAGGGTGAGTTGGGAGTGTCTTCTCATATCTCTTCATCTTGACCTGCTTGATCTTTGCAATTTTGTTTACATTCATTTTTTATTTTTTGATGGGTAGTTCTTTCCATTTACATTGTTGTAATCACTATGTATATTGTTTTCTTGACTCTGTTTACTTCACTCTGCATCAATTCATATAGATCTTTCCCTGATTCTCTGTATTCATTGCTTACATCATTTCTTATAGCACAGTAGTATTCCATTACATCTAAGTACCACAGTTTGTTTATCCATTGCCCAATTAATGGCCTTTGTTTCCAATTCTTTGCTATTGTAAAAAGTGCTGCTATAAATATTTTGTTTTATATGGGTACTTTCTTCTTCTTGGCTTCCTTGGGATATAAACCCAGTAAGGGAGTCTCTGGTTCAAAGAGTATGGACATTTTAGTCACTTTATTTGCATAATTACAAATTGGTTTTCAAAATGGTTGTACCATTTCACAGCTTCATCAACAATGTATTAGTGTGCCTATCCTTCCACAACTCCTCCAATGTTGACTATTACCATTTTTATTCTCTTCACCAATTTGGAGGGTGTAAGGTAAAACTTAGGGATTGTTTTGATTTGTATTTCTCTTATTATTAGTGATCTGGAACATTCTTTTATATGGTTGTGAATACTTTGCAGTTCTTTTCAGAATTGTTTGTTCATGGCTTTTGACCATTTATCCATTGGGGAAGGGCTGTTAGTCATATGTATTTATTAATTGTTTATATATCTTGGATACCAAACCCTTACCAGAGAAATTTAATACAAAGATTTTCCCCCATTTGACACTTCCTTTCTTATCCTAGGTGCGTTAATTTTGTCTGTGCAGAAGCTTTTCAGTTTCACTAAATCAGAGTTATCTTTTATAATTGCCTCTATCCTTTGTTTGGTTAAGGATACATCTCTTATCCATAGCTGTGACAGATACATGATCTTTTAACTTTTTGATAGTATGAGCTTTAATATTAAGGTTATGTATCTATTCAGAATATATTTTAGAATATGGTATAAGGTCTTGGTCTAAGCCTAATTTCTGGCAGATTGCTTTCCAGTTTTCCCAGCAGTTTTCATCATATAAGGAGTTTGGGGCAGCTAGATGGCACAGTGGATAAAGCACCAGCCCTGGAGTCAGGAGGACCTGAGTTCAAATCCAGCCTCAGACATATAACACTCATTAGCTGTGTGACTCTGGGCAAGTCACTTAACCCCATTGCCTAGCCAAAAAACAAAACAAATCAAATAAGGAGTTTTTTTCCTAGATAACTTATGTTTTCCACTTTATCAAACATTGGGTTATTTATTGAGTTCTGTTATTTCTGATTCTCCCTTGTCTTGTCTGTTTTATTAATCTTTTATAGTTGAATTTAATTCCATGGAGCCAGCCATCAACTCTTTGCAAATATCTCCCAAATATATTCTCTAGTCTTTACCTTTTGTAGGCTTCAGATCCACTTTTCCAACTAGCTACATCTCCATCTGGATGTACTATTAGTACCTTAAACTGAAATATCCCAAAATGAGCTCCTTATCCATCCCCTTCTAAACCTATCTCTCCTCATTTCACCATATATTTGTGGCCACCACTATTGATCTATTTTCTTCCATGTTTGTAACCTTAAGATTATCTTTGGCTTTTCCTTCTCCCTCATCTTTAATATCCCAGCAATTACCAGAGCCTGTCAGTTCTACCTCCATAGCAGCTCTCAGATCTGTGTCCTCTCTTTTCTCACCATCACAGCTATAATGCAGGTCCATCATTATCATACAGATGGATTAATACAGTACCTTTCTTACAGGTATTACTGCCTCCCCTTTTTTCCCCTCTCAAATCCATCCTTTATTCTACTGCCGAAACCATCTTTCTTGTGCATATATCTATCTGGTCATGTTACTCCTTCACCTAAAAATATTTAGTAGTTCTTTATTGCCTCCTGAGTAAAGGTTTTCATGCTTTTGCTTGTATTCTTCCTGATGTATCCTCCATAAAACCTTTCCTGAACCCTTCCATTGTTTATTTATTTATTCTTAGTTTTCAACATTCACTTTTATAAGATTTTGAGTTCTAAATTCCACCCCCCTCTCTCCCCAAGACAGCATGTAATCTGGTATAGGCTGTGCATGTACAATCATATTAAACTTATTTCCACATTAGTCATGTTATAAAGAAAAATCAGAACCAAGGGGAAAAACCACAAGAAAGAAAAAACAAACAAAAAAGAGAGAAAATAGTATGCCTTGAACTTCATTCAGACTCTATAGTTCTTTCTCTGGATGTGGATACATTTTCCATCTTTAGTCTTTTGGAATTGTCTTAGATCATTGCATTGCTGAAAAGAGCTAAGTCTATCAAAGTTGATCATTGCACAATGTGGCTGTTACTATGTACAATGTTTTCCTGGTTCTGCTCACTTCAGTAAGTATCAGTTCATATAAGTCTTTCCAGGTTTTTCTAAAGTCTGCCTGCTCATCATTTCTTATGGAACAATAGTATTCCATTACATTCATGTACCACAACTTGTTCAACCATTTCCTAGTTGATGAACATCCCCTCAATTTCCAATTCTTTGCCACCACCAGAAGCACTGCTACAAATATTTTTATACATGTGGGTACTTTACCCATTTTTTTTTTGAGGCAGTTGGGGTTAAGTGACTTGCCCAGAGTCACACAGATAGTGAGTGTCATGTCTCTGAGTCCGGTTTTGAACTCAGGTCCTCCTGAATCGAGGGCTGGTGTTCTATCCACTGCGCCACCTAGCTGCCCCACTTTTTCCCATTTTTAGGATCTCTTTGGGATACAGCCCTAGAAGTAGTATTGTGAGATTAAA